CAGAGAGAGTGAGAGCGAGAGTGAGGTCTTCCATCTGTTGGTTCACTCCCCAAATAGCCACAATGGCTAGAGCTGAGCAGATCCAAAGCCAGAACTTCTTCCAGGTCTCCCACATGGGTACAGGGGAGAAGAACTTGGGTCATCTTCCACTGTTTTTCCAGGCCATAGCAGAGAGCTAGATCAGAAGTGGACTAGAACCAGTGCCCAGTGGGCACAGCAGGTGACAGCTTTACCCACTGCACCACAGCACAGGCCCATGTAATTAATTCCAAAGTCCATGCATACAAGAAAGTTTCAAAAACATTTTGTGTAGTGTGTATTATGAAAGGAAGTGAATAAATTGCAAGTTTTGCACCAAAATAATGTCATCTTTAATTCCATTTCTTATGAACTTTTTGATGTGTCTTCATAAAGATATATATGCAGAGGGCTGGCATTGTGGCGTAAATGGGTTAAGCCACCACCTTCAATGCTGGCATCCCTTATGGGCACTAGTTCGTGTCCCAGCTGCTCCACTTCTGATCCAAATCCCTGTTTATGTGCCTAGGAAAGCAGTGGAAGATGGCCAAAGTCCTTGGCACCCTGCCTCCTTGTGGGAGACCTGGTTGAAGCTCTTGGCTCCTGGCTCCTGGCTCCTGGCTTTGGGCTCTTGGATTTGGCCTGGCTCAGCCCCAGCCATTGCAGCCACTCCTGGGGAGCAAATAAGCAGATTCACATGGAGAGATGGAAAAGCTCTCCTTGCCTGCCTGTCTCTCTGCCTTCTGAATGAAATGACAATGAGTAAATAACATTCTATAAAAAGAGATATTTATGCATGTGTCTTTTTTTTTTTTTTACAAAGGGGCATTTTTTTCTGTGCCTTGTTTTACATATAAGTACTCTGTCCCTACATCATTTTTCAGACCTACTGCATATTTAGGATTTGACTGTACAGATATACCATAATGCATTTTACCAATTCTCTGTCAATATACATTTAGGTTGCTTCTGTTTTATTCCCATCTTGAACAATACTACAAAGAACTGACTTGGTCTTTATGTATATGACCAAATAAGATAAATTTGCAGTTGAATCTAGCAAGGGACATTTACATTTAAAGAACTTTGATCTGCCAAATTATCCTCCAAAAGCAGTACTGTGTTATTCTCCTGCCAATATGAGTGCAAGGACGTGTTTCCCCACACCTTTCAAAAGTGTGTGATCAGAGTCAAAACCCCTTCTGATGCTTCTAATTTCCCATTTCTTCTGATCTGTCTTCAACTTGTATTTTCCTCTTTTTAGGTCTCTGATCACACTTGGCTGTACTGCCAAACTAATCTGTGAATATGTTCTGCAATTATTTCCTCTCTACTTACCTTCTACACTGCCTTCTCTCACCCTCCAACCTCACTTTTCCTGCTCACAAACTTCCCTGTTAGTTTTCTTGCAGCTCAGCACAACTGAACAGGAAACAGGTGCTCGCTCTTTCCCTGGTCTCCCAACCTGCCATCCTCTTCAACCAACAGAGAATGTTAATCAGGAAACATGGGAATAATTTCATAGGAAATAATGCCCGCAGTGCTGGCATCTAATGCAAATTTCTTATATAGGAGTATAGTTTTGCATTTAATTACACCCATTCTCTACTGCTTATAAACATTATCATATGAGAAAACTGAAATGTGAGTTAACTGTATTAGAAACTATGTTAGAAATTAACTCTAAATTTTTTAAAAATACTAAAATATAAATGGTTAATTTTGGCAATCTGCACAAATGACCTGTGTCCTATTTTTGCTTTTGAGTACTTCCCAACCTCTCTACTGACCTCCACCTCCTCCCCCATCCTTCACTCCTACTCCCTTTCTACATCACTGCCCCCTTTGCCGCTGAAGCTCTCTCCCTTTGGGAGCAGTCTTGTAGACTGACATTCAATCATGTAAGAAATGTTACTTATTTCAAAATGGTTCTGTAGGACAGGCCTGAATGGCATCGACTGCCTGTGACACTGACATCCCACATGGGCTATTGTTCATGTCCCAGCTACCCTACTTCTAATCCAGCTCCCTGGTATTGTGCCTGAGAAAGTATCAGAGGACAGCCCAAGTGCCTGTGTCCCGGCTCCTTCATGGGAGACTTGGATGAATCTCCTGACTCCTGACTTGACCCAGCCCAGCCCTAGCTGTTGTAGCCACTGAGGATGTGAACCAATGGATGGAAGATTGATATCTGTGTGTGTGTGTGTGTGTGTCTTTCCTCTAACTCAGCCTTTCAAATAAATAAATAATTTTTTTAAAGTTTTAAATAGGGGCCCACACTGTGGTGCAGCTAGTTGAAAACATCCCTTCGCAGTGCTGGCATTCCATATTAAGTACCAGTTCATGTCCTGGTGACTCCATTTCCCATCCAGCTCTGCCAATGGCCTGGGATCAAATACTTGGGCCCTGAATGGAAGATCTGGCTCCTGACTCATGACCTCAGTCTAGCACAGCACAGGCTGTTGTGGATATTTGGGGAGTGAACCAGCAGATGAAGATCTCTCTCTTAGAATAGAAAAAAATAATATTAAAGAGAACAAATAAAAAATTCCCTGTCATTCTGCCTTTCTGTTAAAAAAAAAAAGTTTTAAAAAATTAAAAAAAAAAAACTGACCACAAATAATTCTGACTCATTTTGACATAAGACGGACCCAAGAAAGCTCCTGCTGACTTTGTCTAGAGCCTCCTCAATCCCTTTCTGCAGAAAAAAAAAAAAAAAAAAAAAGATTTCTCTTGCTTTCCAAGCACCCAGAGCCAAAATAAGCAGTGCTACCCAGTTTAACTCTGTTCAGGCTGCTCCAACATTGAAGGAAAGGAGGAGGAAGGGACACAAATGCATGGTGCTTTATATCATAGTTTCAGACCTGAGTCTCACGGTTGGGGGTGGGACATTCTCAAGATGGAGTCTCAGGTGCTCCAAAATGGAGTCCCTGCTGTCCAAGTGTTACTTCATTACCAGCTTATATATCTCATACAAAATATTTCTCTCTTACACATTTTATAAAACTTGCCAGAAACCTATAGCCATGAGGGGAATGATGTGCCAAGGACAGCCAGTTAGCCTGATGAGTCTAAGCATCCTGTTATCAGCTTTTTCCAAGTCATATTAACAGGCAAACAACATGGTTGCTCAGAAAGTGGTCTTACAGTTGTTTCATGGGTGTGAAGCAGCTCTTTCCAGCAGAAACACAAAAATGCTGGTCCATTCACAAGCACTGTGATAGGGAGGGCACTGGGGAAAAGGTCACAAACAACACACTGGGGCTGAGAGGAGAAATGCTGTCACCCTAACACCCTCTATCCAGAAATCACTTTCTGTGTTTACTTCCTAGATGGCCTCATTATGCTAAATGAGTTTCATAAACTGGTAATCTGGTGACAATGACATTCTATCAGGACACTGGAATCACTCAGTTATTCATGTGAAAACTGCATTACACAGAAACTCACTCAGCAATAGTTTTCAAGGTCACATCTACTCTACATCTCTGTGGGGGGAGAGGTGAACTTTTTTCCCCCCTCTTCTTTTTTACCCCTCCTCCCATTAACAACTTGTATAGATGCTTCCACAGACCATGGTCTTTATGAAAATGTTGAACTAATATCATCCTATGTCAAAAAATGTCGTGGGTTAAACACAGAACCCAAAATAAAACAAGTAACTAGACTTCTTAATTAATTCAATGTGGGGTCCAGGGCTGTGGCAGAATGAGTAAAGCTGCTGGCTTCAGTGCCAGCATCCCATATGGGCCATGCCAGGTGGATTTTTTTCAAAGGGAGGGGGGAATTTTTTCTAAGTCCCAGCTACCCCCCTTCCAATCTAGCTCTCTGCTATGGCCTGGGAAAGCAGTAGATGATGGCCCAGGTCCTTGGGCCCTGCACCCAGTGGGAGACCCAGAAGAAGCTCCTGGCTCCTGGCTTCAGATCAGCCCAGCTCTGGCCATTGCAGGCATTTGGGGAATGAACCAGCCGATGGAAGACCTCTCCTTCTCTCTCTTCCTCTGCCCCTCTGTATCTCTGACTTTCAGATAAATAAATTAATTTTTTTTAAAAAAAGTATGTACTGTAAGATAATCAGCTTGGTGGAGCACTGGGTGACTAAAGAACTGGGCAGAGAAAGTGTTACTTTTCTGTATTTTTTTATAGTTCTCCATTTCATGCAAATCCAGATTAAAATGGCTCCAGTTGTTGACATGCACAGTTTACTTCTCACTTTGTAAATGGGTCAGTGACAGGCAATAACAGTTGACATCCTTCCTAATAGGAGAAGGAAGAAGGGCTGATGACAGAAATTGAAAAGCAGCCAATTAAATCATCAGCTAAGATTCTGTGGCCTCAAACTCCAGATTGAAAAAGTCTGTTAACTAAACAGGGAAGAAGGATCAATCCGCAAAGTTACTGCTCACCCTTCACGCTGTACCCTCTGGCGAAAAGCTCAGCACGCAGGGCCACAGCTGCCAGGTGTGTCCGTGGGGAATCCAACGGCCCGATGAGGTGCAGAATGGGGGCCATGGAGCAGCTCCTATTCTGATCCTCCTTCCCACCCCTGCTGCCTCCAGCACCCCTCTGAAGGCTGCTGAGCCGAGCCCCGCCCCGCAGAAGCAGCAGCCAGAAGGCATTCTGTGGCCCACCCAAAGTGGGAGCCGGGCTTATTTAAATACAGCGAACTGGGAGCCTCACTGCCTTCCTTCCCTGCCCTCTCATCTGCCTTGCTTGTGCAGTTGTCCTGACCAGTGCTCTGTTTTGTAACCACCAAATAAAGCACATTAAGGAAAATTTGAGCAAGATAACATGCAGACCGGCCAGGCACTGGGAGGCTGGGCAGTGGTGGTGGGAGACACGAGAGCCAAGGTCCCAGCCCTGACCATGCCCTGGGAAGCCACCAGGATCACTGAGAAGCAAGTGAGCCACATGGCAGAGCCACCTGCCACCCTCTCTCCCACCCCTCTCCCACACACACATCTGTGCCCCCTTCTGCTCACCATACTTGCCATGGAAAAGTCCTGGGAGCATGTACCCCTTCTTCAGGACACTTAGGGACCAAAGCGGAGAGTGTGGGGCAGATAAAGTCCCCGGCATGTGGGACCCACAGGCTGCAGATGAAGAGGCACAGAAGCAGCGGGTGGCGGCTTGGGGTGTTTCCGCAGACTTCCTGGGATTGTAGTGCAGAGCAAGAACCGCAGTGAATGCGGGAGAAGGAGCAGCGTGGCCTCTCTGGCTGACTCCAATCAGTGAATGAACTTCCTCTGTTCTCAACTCTTCACCAGAGGGCAGGCACTGACATGCGCAAATGCAGGCACAGGTACTCCCACGTCCACACGCGCAGGCATTCGGAACGCAGAATACGTCAGGGCACCTGGTGACTCTGGGAAATGGAGTCCAGGCTGCGCATTTCTAGACACCTGCTGGCGATCCCCAAGGGCTTCAGTGTGGAGTGGATGGAGAAATACTGGCCAGCAGAGGGCATTCGCTTCTGTTCATATCCATCCTTCTTTTCCTTCCCACCCCAAAATCTCAATGATCAGTTGTGTTCTTTCCTGAATAAAATCTTAAAGAGTGGCACTCACTTCTGCTAACTAATCCGAAATCCTAGCTCCTTCATAACCTCTGTCTTCTTCCAGGAACATCTTACTGGTTGCATTCTTCCTGGAAACCTCTTTCAAATAATAAATGATTATGAAAGGAATATACCTTTTAGCAGAGGTGTAGAGGGTATAGTTTAACATGCAGATTTGATAATACAACTTTTATTTGTGTTTATTGATGTTTATAGTTCTTAAATCATTTTACACCTCTTTTAATTCCTCAAGCATAGAAACAAACAACAGAACTGGATACAGAACTAACATTGCTAAGTGTCTTCTAGGAGCAAGATTAAGTGACCAAATGCCTTACCTCATAGCATTTATACATTAGATTAATTCTGAAGACAGTATGATCAGGAGTTCACAAAGGGGAAACTGAGGTGCAAAGAGTTTAGAATTTGCCCATGGCAATATCATTAAAAGGTCTAGGTTAAAGGCCAACTAAAATATAATATTGGTCTAAGAAATTCTTTTGTCTTGGGGCTCAGTTTCTAAAACCCCGGATTTGTCATCTGGGTTAAAAAAGTGAGAGTGAGGCCGGCGTAATCCTCCACCTGCGGCACCAGCACCCTGGGTTCTAGTCCCGGTTGGGGGTGCAGGCTTCTGTTCCGGTTGCTCCTCTTCCAGTCCAGCTCCCTGCTGTGGCCTGGGAAGGCAGTGAAGGATGGCCCAAGTGCTTGGGCCCTGCACTCGCATGGGAGACCAGGAGGAAGCACCTGGCTCCTGGTTTTGGACCAGCGCAGTGCACCAGCCACAGTGCGCCAGCCACAGTGCACCGGCCGCAGAGGCCATTCGGGGGTGAACCAATGGCAAAGGAAGACCTTTCTCTCTGTCTCTTTCTCTCTGTCTCTCACTGTCTAACTCTGCCTGTCCAAAAAAAAAAAAAAAAAAAAAAAAAACTAAATAAAAAAGTGAGAGCGAGGGAGGCTGGTGCCGTGGTGAAGCAAGTAAAGCTGCCTCCTGCAGTGCTGGAATCCCATATGGGCTCTGGTTTGAGTCCCAGCTGCTCCACTTTGGACCCAGCTCTCTGCTATGGTCTGGAAAAGCAGTAGAAGATGGCCCAAGTCCTTGGTTCCCTGCACCCATGTGGGAGGCCTGGAAGAAGCTCCTGGCTCCTGACTTTAGATGGGCACAGCTCCAGCCATTACAGCCAGTTGGGGAGTGAACCAGCAGATGAAAGACCTCTCTCTCTCTCTCTCTCTCTCTCTCTCTCTCTGCCTCTCCTGCTCACTGTGTAACTCTGACTTTCAAATAAATAAATGAATCTTTAAAAAAAAAAGTGAGAGAGAGAGGAAGAGTTCCTACAACAATAATCTACACTGTAGAGAACGACATAGGATTATAACTTGTCTAAAAAGGAAGGCAATTCAAAGTTGCTATTACTCCATGATCATTTTCATTTTTTTATGTTTAATATCAAGATAGCATATATATATATTATGCAATCTTAGGTATATGTATGATTTAAGTGGAAATGCAAATTGATAACTGGATGACATGGAGTTCTATGTTTATGATTGCTTCTGTCAATTATAGTTCATGGGATTAGATTTGTTGCTGCATTAGGAATGCTTAAATATTTATCCATTGGCTTCACACTAGTCTTTACTGTATCAGGCAATATTCTTTGGGTAGATTGCTCTTTCTTGCCAAATTGAAAATTTCATGAGGGCAAGAAACATGTTTGCCTTGAAATTAACTCAGCATCTGGACAGAGTAAGTCTCAGTTCAATGAATAAACGAGGATATAAAAACAAGCAAATAAGAGTTGTGACCCCCAAGAACTGTCTAGTATAGGAAACAAGGAAATAGAAATCTATTTGAAGACTGTCACAATTAGGGTTGAAGTGTATAAACAGGAACCATCCAGGCCAACAGGTCAAATGTTCACCCTTCCTATGTAAGGCATTCCACTCATTTATTTAATAAGCGTTTATTGAGCAACCTTCTGTGTTGTATGTGGAAAGAGCTACCAGCCAATTGATTTCCCTAGAAATTTAAGTAAGAGGCAATGAACAACCAGATACAGGCAGGGAGAGTGGGCTGAATCACAAAAGGCTTTGGACACAAAGGTAAGGAAAATAAAAGACAGGGGGTAAATTAGTCTATATAATAATAAATTACCTTTATTTAGTAGGATCCATGCAGAGGTACTGTGGCAGTGAAAATGAAGAAAAGGCAAATATTACATTGAGATCTACATGTGGAATCAATGGGAGTTCAATGCTTTAATATGGTGGATGAAGGAGATGGAAACTCATGTGTTAATCTTAATTTGGATTTTATTTTTAAAGGACAAAATGTTCTCACCACATTAATGTTCATCAGTAACAAAAGGCTACCTCCAATCAACTTACAAAGTTTGCATAAATCTAGAACACAATCTCATGGGTAAATGATATGTATAAGCCCTGTGTAAATCATCAAGCCTATCATGTTAACTGCTACCATATACAATGGTCCTCATTATGATGCAGTTACTTAGAAATTAGAAGACATGGTGTCAGCACTGTGGTGTAGTGGGTAAAGTCTCTGCCTGCAGTGCCAGCATCCCATATGGGCACCAGTTCAAGTCCCAGCTTCTCCACTTCTGATCCAGCTCTCTGCTCTGACCTGGGGAAGCAGTAGAAGATGGTCCAAAGCCTTGAGCTCCTGCACCCACATTGAAGAACCAGAAGAAGCTCCTGGCACCTGACTTCATATCAGCTTAGCTCTAGCCATTGCAGTCATCTGGGGAGTGAACCAGCATATTAAAGGTTTCTCTCTCTCTCTCTACCTCTGTAGTTCTGCCTTTCAAATAAATAAATAAAATCTAAAAAAAAAAAAAGATGATGAGAAACTTAAAGAAACTAGAAGACATAATCAGTGGCTATACAAACAGCCTAAATAAAAATAAAATTCAAAATCTTACAAAATTATATAATTCATAGCTGAATTTGGAATATCTCACTAAGTCACAGTTCACGTGTCCAGCAATCTCAAGTACTCAAAGTACAACGAAGCAGGACATAAGTAAAAATGTTCCCAGAATAGTCAAAATATGCATTATAAAGTCCAAGCGAGGTGTTGTGCCTCTGGCTCAGCATCATGGCTCTTAAACTAGCTCATAAACTGGCAACTCTGGCAGGCATGAATGGGCACAAAGAGAAGAAGAAAGCAGTAGGTGTGAACTGTGAATAAGTGGAAAGGGCTCCAAGAACAGTGATGCAGAGCTCTGTGGCCCCTAGCTGAATGCAATATGCAGGCAGGCATTTTGATTTCTGAGAGACTACCATGCTCTGAGTTGTCAGGGGCCATCAGAACTGAGCAGAATCAACACATTCAAGGCCAACATCCACAATTCATCTAGTGATAATGGAGCACAGGAGCTTGGCTTTATGGGTACAACTAAGCCTCACTTGCTATATCTTTCTTTCTGTTTGGAGCTACTGGAACTGGAGAGCACATGGGGTCAGAGGGGGTAGAGGAGCATGGTGTGTGGGGGGTCTAAATGTGGTAGTAGTGTGCAGAGGGAGGTGTGGAGGGGAAGGAGAAAGCCAAGAGCATCTAACACTATGGGCATAAGGAGCAGAGGAGGAAGGGAGACAGGGATGATTTGTCTGCATTATGCCTGGTACTCTCCTGGGTATAACTGGTACAACCTGAATGATGTGAATATAGTGCTTACCCTAAAGACACTTCAGTCCTGGGGGACAGATGACAAAGACCTAGACAATTACAAAACAGTGTGATAAAAGGTTAGGTGCACAATAGAATCACTGCATCATTTGTGAATTTCACATCCATGTCAGGTAAGAACAATTGGGTTAAGATCAAATCTCAGAGGAAGCAGAGCCCAGAAATGACACAGTTGTCTGAAAAGAAAATAGGCAGGTGATAGGCAGAGGCTTGGTAACTGCAGCTGAGGCCAGAGAGTGGATCCTGACTGGGAGGCTGTCAAACTGTCATTAACCTGTACCAGGCTGAGATGTCCTAGCTTCTATCTTGCTGCTCATGTCTGTAGAGATGCATAACAAGAGAAGCTCATCTCTGGCTGTGGTTGGCCAGAGGGACAGTGGGAGGTCCTGCATTTGAGGCCAGAATCATTTTACCCTGAGGTTTCCTCATTCATAGGAAGGCTCTTTTATTTTCTTTTTGCATTAAACTCTTCTGCCACCAGATCTCCCACATACCAACAGAGGGCAGATGATAATGACTTATTGAATGAACAGAATCTTGAGGTGTCAACTAAATAGAAGACTCATCTTATGAGTCAATATTCACCTTAGGGGTATACTACAATATGAGAAAATTGAGGCAGGGGATTTTGGTCACACTCAACCTAAGAGTCCTTCTTAAAAATCAAAATAAATAGGAGCTGGTGCTGTGGCGCAGCAGGTTAAAGCTCTGGCCTGAAGCGCCGGCATCCCATATGGGCACTGGTTCAAGTCCTGGATGGTTCTCTTCTGATCCAGCTCTCTGCTATGACCTGGGAAAGCAGTAGAAGATGGCCTGAGTCCTTGGGCTCCTGCACCCACGTGAGAGAACTGGAAGAAGCTCCTGGCTCCTGGCTTCAGATCAGTGCAGCTCCAGGTGGTGCAGCTCCAGCCATTGAGGCCATCTGGGAAGTGAATCATTGCATGGAAGACCTCTCTCTCTGTCTCTACCTCTCTCTGTAACTCTGTCTTTCAAATAAATAAAATAATTTTTTAAAAAAAGCAAAATAAATAAATAAATAAATAATCCCTTCCATGGCTCAGAAGTGCCCAGCTGCCAATCTCCTGAGTATAAGCTCCCAGAAAATGACATATCCCCTAAGACTAGAGGTGGGCAAGCACTTTCTTGACACTTTCAAAACCATTTGAGGAGAAAAAGCCCCACCCTACTAGAACCCATTTGTCCAAGGATACAGCAGAAGTCTCAGAGGCTGGCCTCATTGCACATTTGCCAACAGGGTAGGCAGGGCACAGAAGGCATGAAGATATTTGTGGACTCATGGTGCTGGTTTCAGCTGTTGAACACAAAGAATGAGTGATAGGCAGGAGTTTGAGCTAGTCCTACCTCTGCCTCGCCAGCACTTCAGTAAGCATGGACCAAATCAGCATCTGGAGTGCCTGCTGAGGCCAGGGGATACATGGGAACCTACAGTCAGAGGAAGTCTGAAGCACTAGCTTCAAGGTTGGAGAGTTGCTATAGCAATAACACTTTTAGGGGTTGATGTGACAGGGATAGCCCTGGGAAGGTGAGCTGGTCTCCTAACCCCATGTCTTTCCATTTATGCTCCTCTGACCTACAACAACGTGGGAGAGGGGTGACAGTATGAAGTTGCCAGATGAGATTCTGGTTAATGTAGGCAGGTTGTGGGTCCTAGTGCCAACAGTATCTGCAATGTTGGATGCTGGCCAATGTGGTCACTGCAGTGCATGATCTGAATGAGGGTCTGACAGAGGGAGAGTGGGGCATGGAGTTTGCAAGGCAGACAGGTGAGCAAGTGAAGCAATCTGACTTCTTACCTGGGACAACTAGAAAAGAGGAGAAAATTTGCAGGCTGGAAATGGAGCAGAGACAGCAAATAATACATCCCTGTTGCCCCTTTCCCAAGATGCACACCAAGGTAAGCAACTGACCTCTTCTTAAGTCAGAATTGAAGGTAGTAGTGATGTTGGAAGTTGTGAGTGAAGGGCCCAATGTGGCTAATTGTTTGTGTTTCCTGCAAAAGGTATAGCAAATGATATCTAGTTAAAACATACACATAGCTTGAGGCTTAACTGAGAATTCTTGCAAAATATAAGTACAACCTTATGAACTTGAAAGATGCTAAATGTGTGGCCCCTCATTGGGGATTTGGAGTTCTGTAATTAGAGCTAGATTTTTTCACTGGTGGTGCACATTGTTGTCTCTACTAGAATCTATGGCCACTCATGGCATTTACCCTTGTTGGCTATTTCCTCAGATTCCCAGCTAAAAGGCACCAAACATGAATACCTTTAACTAAAGAGTGAAATCTATCTGAACGGCAGCAGATTGTGAATGGATAAATTTTTATTGTAGCATTTCTACCAGAAATCGCCTTCATCAAAGCATGCTTTATTCTGCCTTTATCATACACAGTGATGCAGCAAGGACAAAAAGCATTGCATTCATGTTGACCTCTCACATAACAACAAGCAAGCCCCTGTTTTTCTGTCTTGCCAATACAGCTCCAGCCTACTTTAACCAGGCCTCTCCTGCCTTGACTTTTGGACACATTACTATCAGAAGACTCCTGCTGTCAGCCCGAGATCTCTCTCCCTCCTCTCAAGCTATCTCCCCATATCTCAGCAGCTCAGCCTCACAGTCCAGCCTCAGCCTGAACCTCTTCCAGCTCACACTGTTATCTCAAGTGACCCTGAAATCTAGCCCAAACTCTCCCTCTTTCTCATCAGCCCAGCATTAGCTCAGATCTCCAAGCCCTTTCAGACCACTTTGTGCTATATAAACCACTGTTCTCTAAGGCAGAGGGTCTTCTGACTGCTGTATGTTCACTGGCAACTCTCTCCCATGCACTCACCCATGTATTGTCCTATATGGGGTCTAGAGCACTCTAGGGAGGGATACAGGAGACATCAAGTCTCTGCAGCTGCATGATGTGTTGTTGATTGGGCTCATAAGCTCAGAGTAGGGGAACTCAAGTGTAGCCCACTGGATACAATCTGATAGCACAGTAGTAGTAAAAATGGTAAAATAGTATTCATTTAGTCATTATATATTAGACATGGCTATTAGTGTTTTAAAATGTGTTGTCCCAATTCATTTTTGCTTAAGCACTAGATACTATTATTGTTATCAGTTTCCAGGTGAAGAAGAATGAATATTACCCAACATACTATTGCTAAACAGTGGCAAAGCCAGCATTCAAACCTGGAAGCATTTCTTAATGATGATGGTTACTTTCGGTTGGATTTGTCAGAGTCCAGTTGATTATACATACTCTATATACTGTCTACACACTTCAGAAGTTTTTTTTTTTTTTTGTTTTGTTTTTTTGACAGGCAGAGTCATCCTCCAAGTCCTTGGGCCCCTGCACCTGCATTGGAGACCTGTAAGGCTCCTGGCTCCTGGCTTTGGATTGGTGCAGCTCCGGCCATTGTGGCCAACTGGGGAGTGAACCATCAGGTGGAAGACCTCTCTCTCTGCCTCTCCTCTCTCTGTGTAACTCTGACTTTCAAATAAATAAATAAATCTTTAAAAAAAAAGCACTAAAATTCTAAAGGAGAGCAATCAAGTTTTAGTTACATAAGACTGAATAAATCAAACAAATTTATGGATATATGTTTTTATTTAAAATATTGTTGGTTCTGTATTTGTTTCATCTAAGTTCTGGAATATATCTGTCCTTTCTATTGATTATTAAGCTTTGATATACTTTTGTATATAGATGGAGTGTTCACTTTTTCCCCTAATTAATTCTTCTAAAATGTAAAACTTTTAGGAGAATTTTTAGTTTCTTATGACATTGTGATTGTGTGAGTTCAGTAAGAATTTGTACTCATGTTATCATGTTATAACTGAGAACATTAGCATATCACAAATTAAGCACAAGATAAATGGCTTCAAGTGTTCCTAGACTTTCAGTGAGTGAATAGAAGTTGTTACCTCTTGTAGGTCTCCCAAATATCAAAACATTAGATACTGAAGTTAAAAGAAAATATAAGGGGCTGGGCTGCAGCAGAGAGGTAAAGATGCCACTTGTGATGCCAGCATCCCATGTGGATACCAGTTCAAGTCCTGTCTGTTCACTTCTGGTCCAACACCCTGCTAATCCACCTGGAAAAGCAGTGGATATGATCCAAATCCTGTACCCATGTGGAACACTCAGAAGAAGCTCCTGGCTCCTGGCTTCAGATTGGTGCAGCCCTGGTCATTGTAACCAACTGGGGAGTGAACTAGAAGTTGGAAGACCTCTCTCTCTTTATGAGGCTGTCTTTCAAATAAACAAAAATCATAAAAAAGAAAATATAATTCCTTCTTAGATATTTAACTTGGAGAGATTCTGAATCATAGCTCATTATATGTGTTTAATGCATTTAACAAATAGATTATAATGTACTTGCTTTTTAATTGCAACTTTGTTCATTGTTTTTAGATTTGCTAATTTTAAAAGTTTTATAGGGAGCTGGTGCTATGGCATAGTGGATAAATCCATTGCTGCAGTGCTAGCATCCCATTCAGGCACTGGTTCAAGTCTCAGCAGCTCCACTTCTGATCCAGCTCTCTGCCATGGCCTGGGAAAGCAGTGAAAGATGGCCCAAGTGCTTGGGCCCCTGCACCCACATGGGAGAACTGGAAGAAGCTCCAAGGATCCTGGCTTTGAATTGACCCACTCTGGGGAGTGAACCAGTGGATGGAAGACTTTCTCTCTCTGCCTTTGCCTTTACACAACTCTGCTTTTCAAATAAATAAATCCTTTTTTTAAAAAATGTTTTATGGGGCTTATTAATGTATGATTAATCAACATTTCTAGTTTCCTTATATAATGTCAATAGTATAATATTTGGCTATTATGATGTAACTCTGTTCATTCTTTAGGATGACAACTCATGTCATGATCAATTCCTGGCTTATGCCACCATCTGAGAAGTGAACCAGCAATAGAAAATCTCTGTCTCTCTTTCTTTCTCTGTTAACTTGATTATTAAGTAAATAAATAATGAATAAAAGAAACACCTAAAACTTTGTCTCCTTTCATTCTTACAATATGCCAGTCAGCCTCAAACCCTGAGGTTTGAGGAATAACAAGAAATAGAGGCAATTGAGACAAAACTTCTATAATAAAAAGTCAGGGCTCAGGCTCTTGTCTGTGTCTCTTAGCCCAAAGTTTCCTTGCTTGTAGGGTATCAAAAAAATTTGGGACCAATACTGTGGCATGGAAGGCTAAGCCTCTACCTGCAATGCCAGCATCTCATATGGGTGATGGTTCTAGTCCCAGCTGCTCCACTTTTGGTCCAGCTCCCTGCTAATGGCTTTGGAAAGCAACAGAAGATGGCCCATGTCTTTAGGCCTCTACATCTATGTCAAAAGAATCTCCTGGCACCTGGCTTCAGATCAGCTCAGCTCTGACCATTGTGGCAATTTGGGGAGTGAACCAACAGGTGGAAGACCTCTCTCTCTCTCTCCCTCCCTCCCTCCCTCCCTCCCTGTCTGTCTGTAAACTCTGCCTCTGAAGAAAATAAATAAATCTATTTTTAAAAAAGGGAATGATACAGCTGGCCTGACAAGCTAGTAATCGCTGGACAAAAGAAGTCATTTGTTTTTGCAATAGATAACCCTGTTAGCCAAAGTTGTCTGGAAAGGTTTATTTAGGGGAGTTTCAGATCCAGGTAACAAAAATCCAAGTCTGGGCAGTAAATAACTACCATTTACATGTAAACCCCAGACAAACTGAAGCCCACCTGGACATCACAACAATCCCCCAAAGAACATGTCATTGCCAACCGATAAAAGGAAGATCACAGCACCACTGCACAATCAGGAACTTGGCCAAAGCTCAACATGCACCTGTCAGCGCCAATTTTAATGTATAAAAACATTTACCTCTAACTTCTTGGGGAGCTCTGAAATCAAGCAAAAGGTTCTCATCTGTCGCTCCCCCTCTTCACAGAGGAACAACACTAAACCCTGCACTGTTCTTTTGTCTGCTCGGCCCTTCCAGGGTTTGCTGCTGGTTCTTCCCGGGTTGGCTGCCGATCCTTCCACCTCCGTGGAGGGGCGGCACCCCCCGCCGCTTTCCCCACTTCCGCGGGGGAGTGGCACACCGCCGGCCGGCTCTCTCAGGGGCTGCTCAGATGTTCCTCAGGTGTTCCCTCAGATGTTCCTGGTGCATGTTGTCTCTCTCCTCCTTTATAGTCCTCTTCCACCAATCCCAACTCTGCTACCCACACGCCGAGTATGCTGCTCTCCTCCAATCAGGAGCAGGATCAGCTCTTGCAGGTTATTGGTCGAACTGGAGGCAGCTGTGTAAAAGTTGTTTCCTCCTCTCCCAGCGCCATATTGTGGGAGAGCAGATGCATAGAATAAGTCTTAATTCCAGTAACTTAGTCTAGTCCGAGTTGCTCCCCACACTCATCTTACTTTGGACTTTGCCACAAATACCTCAAGCTACCACCACTCAATGTCAGTGATTGCCTTCTGTGTGTTATGCAAGCACAAATAGGTTAGGGAGTTCTTTTTGTTTTGTTTTTGTTTCCATTTTAAAGATTTATTTATTTATTTGAGACTCAGGGTTACACAGAAAGAGAAGGCAAGGCAGAGAGAGACAGAGACAGAGAGGTCTCCCATCTGCTGGTTCACTCTCTAATTGACTGCAATGTCTGAAGCTGTGCTGATCTGAAATCAGGAGCTTCTGCTGGGTCTCCCATGTGGGTGCAGGGCCCAAGGACCTAGGACATTTTTCACTGCTTTCCTAGGCCAAAGCAGAGAGCTGGATCAGAAGTGGAGCATCTGGGACTCAAAGTGGTGCCCATATGGTATGCCAGCACTGCAGGCAATGGTTTTACCCACAATGCCACGGGGCAGATCCTGGTTAGGGGGTTTTATAACAACATTGCCAATGAGTTTGGGAGGATTGTTCTGCAATAGGAGCAGAGATGGGACTTGAACCCAGGCATTCTGACATAGAATGTAGGCATCTCAAGCAGCGCTCCAATCACTGTGCTAAATCCCATTCCATTAGTTTGTTAAGTTAAATTGCTATTTGAATGCCAGAGAGACTGAGAAGACAGCAGAGATGATCCATCTGATGATTTGCTCCCAAAATGCCCAGAATAGCTGGGGCTGAGTGAGGCCAAAGCCAGGAGCCAAGAACTCATTCCAGGTCTCCCTTGTGGCTGGCATGGATCTGAGTAGTTTAGCCTCCAAGGGTGCACATTAGCAAAAGGATGGAATTAGGAGAAGAGCCAGGACTCTGTCCTAGGCACTCTTATAGCTAAATGTGGGTGTCCCAAGTGACAGCTTAACTGTTGTGCCAAATTCCAGCCCAGCTAACTTTTTTGAGATATTTTCCCTCATGAGCCTCTTTCTTTACTTAGAAGAGGGAAAACTGATTTTTCTTTGACAAATGTTGTAAATTAAACAAGGAAATTCTCACAAATGAAAATGAAATAACTCAGTAGTTATTTTAAATACATTATTTTAAAGTTTGTTTTTAATAAATTCAGGAAAGAAAGAAGCTAATAGATTGTTGGTTTGGGTATGAATAATATATCTAAACTGAGCATAATGTGAGTTTTAACACCTCTGCTTTTGAAGACGTTTACAACCACATTGAAGTTGTATAGAAGAGAATGATATAGAATTAATGAAAGCATGAATGCAGGAGAACAGGTTTTTCTTTTCACCTCAGGCTCCAATGCAGGACCATCAAGTCCGTACTGCAATGTTCTGATACACTATGTATATTTTCACACTATTTTTGTCTGCCACTCTCTGAATCTATGTTGGAATTTCTGCCCCAAGCCCTCTTGAGTCTGTAGAAATATCACAGCATGATATAGCTCCATCCCATTAACACACTCAAGAATGGATATATGACTCTTCCTTAAACTTTATATGAAGTAACACAGAATAACTAACCTGGAAGCATTTCAGAAAAGGAGATAAACATTCAGGGAAAAAGCATTTGGCATGGTAGTGAAAAGACCCACATTCCATGTTATGGTACCGGGGTTCAACTCCCAGTACTGATTCTGATCCAGCTTCCTGTTCATACACAGCCAGGTGAGCAGCAAGCTCAATAGTTATCTCTTTGTTACCAGCGTGGTGGATTCAGAATAAAATTCTGGCTTCTGACTGCCCTGGCCGGTCCCAGCAGGTGCAAAGACAATCTTTCTCATTCTCTCATTCTCTCTCTCTCTCTGTGTGTGAGTGTGTGCCATCTGTCTCTCAATCTGTATCTCCACCTTTCAAATGAAATATTTTTTAAAGATTTGTTTATTTGCCTTTCCCAAGACTGTAGCTGCCTTCTGGAAATACACCCTTTCCTCTGGCCAGCACTCAGCTATGGCGAATTGAAGCGGTGAGCATCCAGAGCCGGATTATGTGTCTGGAAACAACATTGTTCCCAAAACAGGAAGCCGAGCCGAGGGACGGAGCTGCGCAAGCTGCAGGGTCTGCGCGCAAGTGCTCGAAGGGGAGTGCAACAGCGGGGAGACTTGGGAAGTCCAGGGCTCCGAGTCCACACATCGGCGCTGGAAGGGGAGCAGACCTGCGTGGAG